TTAACGGACTACCTTCTAATATCGTCCGGTATAAGGTTTCACATTTAACGGACTACCTTCTAATATCGTCCGGTATAAGGTTTCACATTTAACGGACTACCTTCTAATATCGTCCGGTATAAGGTTTCACATTTAACGGACTACCCTCTAATATCGTCCGGTATAAGGTTTCACATTTAACGGACTACCCTCTAATATCGTCCGGTATAAGGTTTCACATTTAACGGACTACCCTCTAATATCGTCCGGTATATGGAGGTTTCTGTTGTACATACTGCTTATATTCTCCAATAGCGTAAAAAAATTCCTTTACTAATACCATAAATAATGATCATATCGGACAAACAGTCACACTTCCTATCCTTTCATGTTAAATTATGACACGATTTGAATTGAAATATATATAAAAACACACGAATTCTGTTGTTAGTATTGAAAACTAACGTCAATTTAACCCAAAATATTAACACAGGTTCTTACACATTCATAGACGATTATGTTAAAATTATGACAACATTTGAATAGAACGTTTGTGAAGTAAACGCAAACAACAAGACTATAAAACACTCAAACACAATAATTCCTTTCAGTAACATCAAAACAAACTAAATATCACAAAAAAAATATTCCCAGATCTTTAAAAACCTTTCCTGAATTATTGTGTGATAAGATTTTCAATAGAATCTTTGTTAAATATTCCTTCAGAAACAAAAAATAAATAAATATTCCCAGATCTTAAAAACAAAAATAAATCAGGAATTATTGTAATAAATTATGATAAAACCTAAATGGAATGTGTGTGAAATACTCCACATAAATATATATCATGTAGACAGACAGACAGACAGACAGACAGACGAATATACAATCTATACCCATACAAACTCCTATATCAAGATACATTATAGGACATATAAACAAACACACTAATATATACCTACTACATCTATACACATTCCTTCAGTAAATATATATAAACATTAAACTTGAAATTGTTACATATTTACTCAAGGTCGTTTAAGCTCTACATATAATATATAATTAAAACTAATATATGAAGTAACAACTGGTTATTTAATTCTCTTATATATATTAACACCACCTGGATTTAATTAATTATATGAACCTACAATAAACTAATATACGGTTGCTGTAATCTGCCAACATTTCCCTCACTGTAACCTGCCAACACCACTCACTGTAACCTGCCAACACCACTCACTGTAACCTGCCAACATCACCCACTGTAACCTGCCAACACCACTCACTGTAACCTGCCAACACCACTCACTGTAACCTGCCAACATCACTCACTGTAACCTGCCAACACCACTCACTGTAACCTGCCAACACCACTCACTGTAACCTACCAACACCACTCACTGTAACCTGCCAACACCACTCACTGTAACCTGCCAACACCACCCACTGTAACCTACCAACACACTGTAACCTGCCAACACCACTCACTGTAACCTACCAACACCAACCTGCCACACCACTGTAACCTGCCAACACCACTCACTGTAACCTGCCAACACCACTCACTGTAACAACACCACCAAACACCACTGTAACCTGTAACCTACCACACCACTCACTGTAACTGCCACAACACCACTGTAACCTACCACACCTGTAACCTAACCACTTGCCAACCTGCCAACACCACTCACTTAACCTGCCAACACCACCCCTGTAACCAAACACCACCTACCAACACCACTCACTGTAACCTGCCAACACCACTCACTGTAACCTGCCAACTCACTGTAACCCCCAACACCACTCACTGTAACCTGCCAACACCACTCACTGTAACCTACCAACACCTGATCTCTTTCACCTGACATCACCTGCAGTTAATTAATTATATATAGCTCTGACAAGACAGAGTTGATACCTAACACACACGTCACCCTAGCAACACACACACCCTAGCACACACACACGTCACCCACACACACACACAAGTCAACACACACACACACGTCACACACACGTCACCCACACACACGTCACCCTCACACACACGTCACCTAGCAACAACACACACACAAGTCACCCTAGCAACACACACACACACGCAACTCACACACACACGTCACCAGCAACACACACACACACAAGTCACCTAGCAAACACACACGTCACCCTAGCAACACACACACACAAGTCACCCTAGCAACACACGTCACCCTAGCAACACACACGTCACCCTAGCAACACAAACACGTCACCTTAACAACACACTCACGTCACCCTAGCAACACACACACACACAACACCCTAGCAATACAAACACGTCACACACACACACACGTCACCATAGCAACTGTAACCTAACCGCATGATTTGTCAAAGAAGAATGAATTGAAAAAATGTAGGAGGGAGAGATTCATTTTGATTGTCTCTCTCTTTCTCTGTGTGTGTCTCTCTTACTATCTTTCTCTCCCTCTTTTCTCTGTTTCTTTATCTTTCTATCTCTGTCTCTCTTCCACTTGTCTTTGTTTCTTTATGTCTCTTCTCTTTGTTTATCTCTCTCTCTCTCTTCCTCTTTTCGCTCTTAACCTAACCCAACATAACCTAACCTAACCTAACACTAACCTAACCTAACCAAACCCACAATGCACCATTCATCAATATTATATCAATCAGAAATATATATTGACAAGTATCCAGGAATTTTTGGCAACAACTGTACATTTTTCATCTTGATAATCAGAGAGACAGACAGACAGACAGACATAGAAAACTGAGTGTGTTACGAGGTGATACTTATATTTTGTTGGTGTTAGTTAAATGGTGTTAATTCCGGGTTCTGATTGGATAAACTGAGAAATATTTGGTGGGTGTAAGCTGAAGAGGGTGGTGGTGGTGAAGTAGTAGTAGTAGTAGTAGTAGTAGTAGTGGTGGTGGTGGTAGTATTAGTGGTGGTAGTCGTGGTGTAGTAGTAGTAGTGGTGGTGGTAGTAGTGGTGGTGGTGGTGGTGGTAGGTGGTGGTGGTAGTAGTGTAGTAGTGTGGTGGGTGGTGGTGGTGGTGGTGTGGTGGTGGGTGGTGGTGGGTGGTGGTGGTAGTAGTAGTGGGTGGTGGTGGGTAGTGGTGGTGTGTGGTGGGTGGTGGTGGTGGTGGTGGGTGGTGGTGGTGGTGGTGGTGGTGGTGGTAGTAGTAGTAGTAGTGGTGGTGGTGGTGGTGATGGTGGTAGTAGTAGTAGTGGTGGTGGTAGTAGTGGTGGTAATAATAGGGGTAGGGATGTAATGAGGGCGATGGTGGTGGTGGTAGTAGTAGTAGTAGTAGCAATGTGGTGGTAGTACTGGTAGTGGCGATGGTGGTAGTAGTAGTGGTGGTGATAATAATAGACACTTGGCACGACACACACACACACACACACACACACACACACACACACACACACACACACACACACACACACTTAGTTATTTACCTCCATGGTGCCGACAAGTCTCCACTCTCACTCCTCCTTCACATCAACTACTATACGACTTTTGCTGCACGATTGTTGCGGCACGATGCTGTACGACTTTTGCTGCACGATGCTGTACGACTGTTGCTGCAAGAATGACCATCACGACTCTAGTTAAAATCACGTATAGCAAATTGAAGTCTTAGCTGGAGAGAGAGAGAGAGAGAGAGAGAGAGAGAGAGAGAGAGAGATGGGGAGAAAAAAAAAAGAGAATGGGGACAGAGAAGGAGAAAACAGAGAGAAATTAATCAAAATGGCGTCAAAACATCACCCATACTATACACACAATTCTCTTCGTATCCCCTCAAAGGAAAAGTAACAACACGACAAGTCACTTAACACCGAGCACTGATGTGGGTCGAGTGTGAGTGTTTCTTAAGGTTAACTCCGGGGTCTCTCTCTCTCTCTCTCTCTCTCTCTCTCTCTCTCTCTCTCTCTCTCTCACTGGGTCAGCTCTTTCTTCTCACTGACTTCTCTCTCGTTCACCGTGACGTCAAGATCTACACACATGACCACAACACTAGTGACGTCAAGATCTACACACATGACCACAACAAACACTAGTGACGTCATGATCTACACACATGACCACAACACTAGTGACGTCATGATCTACACACATGACCACAACACTAGTGACGTCAAGATCTACACACATGACCACAACAAACACTAGTGACGTCATGATCTACACACATGACCACAACACTAGTGACGTCATGATCTACACACATATATTCAATAAGGTTCCACAGATACACAGGTTCAATTTACCTCATATAACTGGTGTTCAACTAATTAACGCAACATACATGTAATAAATCCAATTAATCATTCAACAGGTACCCGACAGGTTAATTAATTGTATCAGGTGTCAAGCCCGTTTGATTCAGGTATTAAGATCGTCCATATGTATAATTAATATTGTTTTACGAGTTATTTAATTTAGAGATAATTATATGCAAATTAACTCTACATTAGATAAAATAATAATGCTGGTAATGGTTATAAGACAAGGTTAGGTTAAAGTTAGGTTTGTGTTAGGTTAGGGTGGTTAATCTTTAGGTTTGTGATAGTTTAAGTCAGGTTAGGGTGGTTAGGTAAATCTTATTTCTCTTGTCTTATTTGAAATGTGAAAGAAAACGGTGAGGGGGGGGTTAGGTTAAGTTTATACGTATGTGTATAAGAGAAAACGTCGAGGTGTGACAAGGGGTAACTAACCTAGATTAGTATTTCTGATGGACTACCAATGCCAAAATCTACACAAATACTTTAAAAATCATTTCTCCAACATGTTTTCTGTCACACAACTCAATCCCTTTAAGTTAGAGAAAACGGCAAGGGGTAACTAAGCTAAAATATTGTTTCAGGTGGGATACTATTGACAGAACCTATAAAAATATTCTTAAGATTTAAAATCATTTGTTTACTTTTCCCTACAGCTGTCTCCTTTAACTGTAAAAGAGAAAACGGCAAGAGGTGACATGGGGTAACTAAGCTCAAATATTGTTTCAGCTGGACTACAGTGAGTGTGGGGATGAGGCCCAGCCGTCACCTAAACACATGAAGCTGTTTACCGACTCCCCGCCCAGCCCAGATCACCAATTCTGTTCCTCTACGACCTCCATGGCCAGTGACTCAGCCCATACCCCCTCAGAAGTGAGTTCTGACCCATGATTTGTCCCACAGATCTTTACATTCGACCCACACTTCCTTATATTCCCCTTTATATTCAACCCACACACCCTTAGATGAGAGTTTTAACCCATTATTCGACCCACACATCCTTATATTCAACCCACACCTCCTTAGATGATAGTTTTAACCCATGACAAAGCCCACAGACCTTTACATTTGATCCACACACCTATTGATGATATTTTTAACCCATGACTTAGCTCACACTAATTCAACCCACCAACCCACACTCAACCCACACTAATTCAACCCACCAACCCACAGAGTTTACGAGAGGACGACGGGCCCAAGCGTTCGTGTCTGGTGTGTGGGGACATAGCGTCGGGTTTCCACTACGGCGTTGCATCCTGCGAGGCTTGTAAAGCTTTCTTTAAGAGAACCATCCAGGTAAGAAAAGTAAGACCTTCATTTGTTATCTTGCTAGAATTATTTGTTATCTTGCTAAAAGTATTTGTTATCTTGCTAAAAGTACTACTCATATTTTCCTTGCTAAAAGTATTTGTTATCTTGCTAAATTTGTTATCCTGCTAAAAGTATTTGTTATCTTGCTAGAATTATTTGTTATCTTGCTAAAAGTACTACTCATATTTTCCTTACTAAAAGTCTTTGTTAACTTGCTATATTAACTGTTATCTTGCTCAGTACAGTAAAATAGTGTCTTGTGGTCTGGGATTACTTACAAATTACTATCGTGTTATGATTAGGCACCTTGGTTTATTTCACCCTATGATTAAATACACTAATGTTAAAGTAATCTAACCTAACATAACCTAGTCTAATCCTAACATAACCAAATGCTAACCTAACCTAACTTAATCAAGTCTAATCCTAACCTAACCAAATGCTAACCTAACCCAACCTAACTTAATCTAAGCTAACCTAAACAAACCCAATCACCTAACCTAACCTAACCAAGCCAAATCCCTACAGGTAACATAACTATACAATATTCTTCAATCATCAGGTAAAATAAGCTGGGGTGCCCAATCTTCACATGATCCATTGCAGATAACACTGAAAATTATCAAGTTAATCAAGTTTCTCCAAATTAAACTAAGCCTTTCATCCTCATTTGCATATTAAAATCAACATAAAATTATTTATCGACCTATATATGTAATTTACTGTATTTAAAAATATTATCTACGTCTACATCATTATATTTTTAGTGGCTTTAATTAATATCCAAAGTCCTTAACTATGTACTGTATGATAACTTACTGTAATAATCCTGATTAGGCTAGACCCCATGTAATCGACTGTGTGTGTGTGAGAGAGAGAGAGAGAGAGAGAGAGAGAGAGAGAGAGAGAGAGAGAGAGAGAGAGAGAGAGCATATTGTACTATATACACTGGAACATATTATTCCCTACCCCTATAGGTCATTTCACTCCAGCTTTAACACCCTAACCGACCATTACAATCCGCAGAAGCTGATTGGTTGTTATAAGTCGCGACACATCAACGAATACACTGATAATTCTATTCCTTCTGACGATCAATTCCTGAAAAAAAAATCAATTGTATTCTCGTGATGTAAAAATGACGGTGAATTCGCGATGTGACTCCACGACTCCCAGCAACCAAATGGACTTCTAGGAAATGTTAATGGCCGTTTGGAGATGGTGATTGTACTCATGGCTCAATCAACGTGTCAATTTCAATCCCTTGTCCCTGAATTATATGATAAATGACAGCGGAACAATCTTTATACCATATGTGGGGGGGGGGGAGGGGTGGTGGATGTCTCAGGAAATTGTACACACACTGTTTTATAGAATTATCGTGGAGACTGCCTGGATGTTTCTGTACAACCGACATTGTCCTTCTTCAGGCGCAAAATGAGGACAATGACAAGGTTGTTTTTGTAACACACTGTCCTAACTTATCAAATACCCGAGATGTCCCACGAGCGAGGAAAAACACCGCTAGAGTGACTAACAAAATAAAAAATTCGCAAGACCACCACGACGGCCTATAAAGACCTCTGTATGCATTTCCCCGAGACACCCCCGATTAAATCATCGTAGCTTACACCCCAGTACCCCAATTCCGCGACTAATCAACCCGTTGTGTGTTCTCAGGGTAACATTGAGTACACGTGCCCGGCTGCTAATGACTGTGAGATCAACAAGAGAAGACGGAAGGCGTGTCAGGCATGTCGGTTCCACAAGTGTCTGCGAGTCGGCATGCTTAAGGAGGGCGTCAGGTGCGTGCTATATTTAATGTGAGGCTCCTCTCTTGCCTCCTCCTACCTGGGTGGGAGAGGGTATGGACCTGGGATTTATCTTCTTTTATCTTTGGGTAGGTTAGGGTACATAAGGTTAGTGTAAGGTTATGTTATCTATAAGTTAGGGTAGGGTAAGGCAGGGCAGGGCAAGGTTAAGTTATGTACTGTAGTGTGCTAGGATAGGGTTGGCTAGGTTAGGGTTAGGTTAAGTTAGGTTATCAGTGAAAAGAGGTTCATTCATCATACTCAATAGGTTAAATTATCATACTCAAGGGATTAAGTCACTAAAGACATTCTAGTATTATCAATGAGGAATTCAACTATTTTAAGCAAGATGGGTTTTATCTACAAATGAAATACACAACTCAAAATACAGAAACAATTCAAATTTACAGTGGATCAGACTAAAGCTGTACTGTATCGTCTTATGTACTGTACTACTGTATTATGCTAGAAATCTTCACCTTAAAAAAAATTACAGTAATAACCTTCCATAGGCTACATAAAATACTGTAACTCGTACACTGTATTGGGGTAGAGCAATAGAGCATTCACTGTATCCCTGTATTAAATCTTTCAGAGGTTAACATTTCAAAAGCCACTGTAGTGTCATATGGTTACTGTAATGTATATTGTATCTAGTTTCATATTAGCATTACAGATTCATCATGTTAAAGTTTCAACAAATTTATCATTGCATTTATTACAGTAATCTACCTACCTAACTACCCACCTACCTAACTACCTATCTACCTATGTACCTAACTACCCACCTACCTATCTATTAATCAACATAACTAACTACCCACCCACCTACCTACCTACCTACACAACTATCTGCCAACATATCTACCTACCTCCATTATATATCTACCTAACCTACCCTACCCTAACCTAACCTAACCTAACCTAACCTAACCTAACCTAACCTACCCTACCCTACCCTAACCTAACCTAACCTAACCATCACATGTCACCTGCAGGTTAGACCGGGTGAGAGGAGGACGGCAGAAGTACAGGAGGACCACAGAGTCGCCGTTCTCTCTCCAAATGCCCGTCAAAAAAGTTTCCTTAGAAGGTGAGTCTCGTCTGTCTGTCTGTCTGTCTCTCTATCTATTTGTCTGTCTGTCTATTTATCTATCTATCTAAGTATGTCTGTCTGTTGGTTGTTTTAAGTGTCTGTAGATCTGCCTGTCTCTATCTATCTATCTATCTATCTATCTATCTATCTATCTACCTATACTGTAATGCCCATCTCTCTTGATCTACCTATAATGTCTATCTATCTATCTCTCAATTATATACAGTACTCTAAAATAGTACAATATCAACTGTGTTCCGGACTACAGATTATTACGTACTCATAAATGGTACAATTTCAACTGTTTAATTAAATCCCACACGGAGGTTTCACACACTAAATGGTACAATTTCTGATTATTTTGTTCATAATACTGTACCATGAAATCCCTCACCACATACCTACTGGTAAATGGTACAATCCCTTCCTTCACACCAAAATAGTACCTGTACCATCTCACAATCCCTCCCCTCACACCCAAATGGTACAATCCCAGATTACTTTGTTCATAACACTGTACCATGAAATCCCTCCCTCCCTAAACAAACCAAACCAAACCAAACCAAACCAAACCAAACCAAACCAAACCAAACCAAACCTAACCTAACCTAACCTAACCTAACCTAACCTAACCTAACCTAACCTAACCTAACCTAACCTAACCTAACCTAACCTCACCAAACCTAACCATAACCTAACCAAACGATCTCACTCCCTACAGATAATAAGCTTCTGAAATCCCTCATCTCGTGTGAGCCCGACCCCCTCTACGCTCTGCCCGACCTAACGGTGTCCGACGCAGACTTCCTGACTATATCCACGCTGGCTGACCTCTACGACAGGGAGCTGGTCTCTACCATAGGCTGGGCTAAACAAATTCCTGGTAAGATTTGGTTCATTGATTGAGTGAGTGAGTGAGTGAGTGAGTGAGTGAATGAGTGAGTGAGTGAGTGAGTAAATGATTGATTGAGAGTAACTGTTTGATTGAGAGTAATTGCTTGAATGATTGATTAATTTAGTGACTGCATAAACGATTGATTGATTGAGTGAATTACTAATTGAGTGAATAATTGTAAGAGCTTATTTAGCCAGAAAATACCAATACAGTAAACATTAAACAACAATATTAAGTTTTCGATGGAGATTCTATTTACTCATGTATGTATGTATGTATTAATGTATGTTATGTATGTATGTACTGTATATGTGTACTGTGCTTGTGTGTGTACTGTACTTATGTATGCTAGTACTGTAGATATGAGTGAACATGTAGGTATACGTATAAACATCATTATGCAGGTATGTATCTTGAAGTATGAGTCTTATACACATTATATTTACCCTAATATACATTTTGAGTTATAAAATATACATACTATACTATATATATGCCCAGTACAGGTATATATATATAGTATACTGTACTTAAAACACAGGTATATTTTAAATAATTAGGGATAAATATAAAGGTAATGTATATCTCATCACCCCCACACCTGCAGGGTTCACCGAGCTCGCACTAAATGACCAGATGCGGCTACTACAGAGCACCTGGGGGGAGATCCTAACGCTGGGCCTGGCTTACCGCTCCATGCCCGCTCATGCCCACACGCTCCATTTTGCTCCGGACTTCAGTTTAGACGAGAAACAAGCGAGGGAATGCAATGCTACCGAGCTTTTTACGCAGGTGAGTGGCTTCGGTGTCGTACCAGGGCGAGCGTTTGTGTCACGAGGCCGTTCGTAATAATTCAGTACTGTAGAGTCGATCCTAAGGCATTTTTTTTTATATTTTTGGATCATTTCATCATTTATTAACTTACTACCCATTAAGGTCGTTTAGTTTGTTACTTAGTTATGATCTTTATTGCCAAGTTTTAGTACCCAGAGAAAAAACCTGTCATAGTTGGGTACTGTCACACTCCATAACACACACACCATCACACACCTGTTCTGGGGACTGAACCTAGAACACAGTGGTGAGAGATACAGTACACACACATTACCACTCAACCAAAGGAATGTAGGTTCTAATTGCCTATTAAGTAATCCCTCATTATCAACAAGTACTCTGATAGAAAAACAATTCTTATGTCCCTATAGAGTATAGTACATCCCCTTCCTAACACCCACAATCCCCTTCCTAACACCCACAATCCCCTTCCTAACACCCACAATCCCCTTCCTAACACCCACAATCCCCTTCCTAACACCCACAATCCCCTTCCTAATACCCACAATCCCTCTCTTAACACCCACATCCCCCTCCTAACACCCACAATCCTCCAACAACCACATCCCTTCCTAACACCCACAATCCCCCAACAACCACATCCCCTTCCTAACACCCACATTCCCTCCTAACAACCACATCCCTACACAGGTTCTGGGTGTGGTTGAGAGACTGGAGCAATGCGGCATCAACAGGGAAGAGTTCTTGCTACTAAAGGCTCTCGTGCTGACCAACTCGGACGTGCGGCTTCAAGACAACCAGGCCCTACACCGCCTGCGGCAGAATATCCTTCAAGCACTGCACGACGCGGTAGCAACAATCAGGTGCGTCCTCATTGGTTGACTGAATGTGTGTGTGTGTGTGTCTGAGTGTGTGTGTGTGTGTGTGTGTGTATGTCTGTATCTGTGTGTGTTGATGTTTGTATCTATATTCATTTATTTATTTTACTTATATGTTGGATCTATTTATCAATCCAGTCTATCATGTATCATATTTATCTATTTACAATGACCACACACACACACACACTTGTACCTCTCATAATACTTCATTATTAATGGACTACATTACCAGACTACAATAGTGCATTTACAACTAACTTTATTACACTCTTATGGGCCAAAAGGATTCAATCACAGTAATAATAATATAATATCCTCAACGACTAACAACGGCCTTGGCTTTGCAGACTACGGGACGCGGTAGTACAGATGCAGTCGCTATTACTGTGCTTGCCGTCGTTAAGAGCAGCAGACGCGGCCCTGAGGAGGTACTGGCTCTCCGTACGGCACCAGGGTAGTGTGCCCATGAACAAGCTCTTCGTTGAGATGCTAGAGTCACATATGCGGTGAATGGGAACTAAACTTAATCCTTAATTAAATATATATATATGGCAAACATTGATTTACATTAATGGAGGAAAAAAATTAATGATGTGGCAGGGATGTGAAGTTAATGATGTGGCAGTGATGTGAAGTTAATGATGTGGCAGGGATGTGAAGTTAATGATGTGAAAGGGGTGTGTTGGTGTTGTGTGTTGAGACGAACTTCCCCACTGAGGCTTGCCAGGTGGTCACGGAAGCTCCGGCGCTGACCACTGTGGAGATGTTTTGGTGTCATGTCTTCCAAGTTCGAACTGGAGTTGTGAGGGAGAGAATCGCTCGCCGTGTCGGACGCTTCCCCCCCGGCGCACGACTCGACCGCGGGGACGAACGCTCCGACGCCCGGTGATTACGGCGAGCGAAACGGCGTCTCCAAGATGATGACGAACGCCAGGAGGAAGAACGATACAATACTCCATATATAGAAAAGCCTGCCATGTTGCCATACACTCAGGTATTGTTGGCAATTGTGTTCAGCCCCAAGAAAATAAACAAAAGAACATAGATCACCATTAAGAGAACTTTAACCCCAATGTGAGATTTGATCCTATGTACTATGTGTATATATATATAACTGTTGTCAATGCTACTCCCACCGAGCGACACGTTTGGCGATGTTGCCGCTGTATGCAAATCAACTAACACGGTCAGCGAATCAGAGCAATGGACGATATATTTAACAAATTCATAGTTTTTTTTTTTATTAGGACTGGAGTCACAAGGGCTCATGTTTGCTGATCTCCTCATTCGTCGGCAGTAGACTGAGGACGACGGCAGTGTGTCGTCTCAAAACTCAGTCGCTGCTATAGGGAAAAAAATAAGTTGATAGAAGTGTACATATTCATTTTCTTAGTATCTCAAAGGCATAGGCCTGTGTAACAGTACAACTGCTTAAGTAAGAGAAACCAATAATAAAAATGTGTGTGTTGTCTGTTTCTAATTAAATGTGAAACTTGTCATGTGTTTAGACATTATAATAACTACCAGTAACTCTACAGTCACCTGGACAATGGCAGAGTACACACCAGGGTGATTATAGGGTTAACGAGCAAGAGTCGTTAGGCTACATCAGGTGCTAGTGTCCCATGATAAACATTTGCCCAGAGAGTATAATAACCCTTATGAGACACTCTGTTGAAGTATGGTGTGCTAACTTGTTCATAATTTACACTACAATGTATACAACCCAGGGAAAGGGGGTGTACTGGAGGCTTGAACTTGGCACGATGGTTGATGGTGTGTGTGTGTGTGATGCAAATTCCTACACTTTTAATACACAGTATACAGAAATTACCAGTGTATTAGAGACATATGTATACACACACACACACACACACACACACACACACACACACACACACAGCATCGAGCCAAGTTTAAACCTCCAATACAACTCCTTTAGTGTTTATCCTTTGTCTCATCTAAGGGCCCATGTAAGAATAACAACCTGTTTATATACATACATACATACATACATACATACATACATACATACATACATACATACATACATACATACATACATACATACATACATACATACATACATACATGCATACATACATTGTGTACCCAAAGTCTCTCTCTTCTTAGGCACTTAACGCTGTACAGAAACAACCTCCAAATACCAGATCGTGCAAAAGGGTGATACTGTATTGATTCCATTGCAACAGAATAGACAGAGCATTGCAGAATCAACATCGATCAGCATCCACAGTAACGACAACCATTATGAAGAATTACCCCATACTGTACTGACGTTAAGAGCCTATGGAGTCACACTTTAGGGCCATATTGTATATAATATGTTAAAAAAATATAATATATATTCACCATACATCCCAGAAATCAAATAATGTTATAACTTGTCTTCCCAGCTGTAAACTGTCATGGTGGAATTTTGGTTATGAGTTTTTCAAAATATGTCTTCCTTATTTTGAGTCATATTATACTTGGAGAATATGGCCTTGGACACCAATGTGATTTATATTGGAGTTATGTTAAATACGGAGGGTTATATACACACATATACACTGTTATGTATGAATTGTTGCCCCTCTTCTCTGCCATGGTGTATGAGGGGGGGGGGGTGAAATGTGTCACTTTATGTATGATGATTCGTGTATAATATCTCCTATTCACTGTGTATTATTGGTGTGTTTCTTCTGTCAAGTGTTAATGTGTATGATATGGTATACTTTTTATATTACGTATAAAAATGTATGTTTTATATTCCATGATGGTTAAAAGGTAGAAATATATATGGATCATACAACAAACACACACACACAATTTCTACATGGGATAATCTTTTAAATTTACCGAAGGGGAAAAAAAATATCAACAAATCACCGCAATGACAGTAAAAACAGTGGGTAAGGCAGCAACTCGAAGCTCGCAGATAAAATCAAATACCACGTTACGATTTGTGGAGATAATGCCTTCTTAGGGGTTGGGTTAGGTTTAGGGTTCAATATTGTCGCGATACAATTGTTTACGTATTTGTGTGTTTACGTCAAGGAGCTGTCGCGTCTGTCGTTTCGCTATGGGCCTGAGGAAAAGCGTCGTGTTAATTGCGAACCACTGGAGGCATACACAGACACACATCCCTACACACCAAAACATGCACACATCTTCACATACACACACTGAAATGTATACACAAACACATCCCTACACACACACACACACACCAAAACAAACACATACCATAAAACATATCTACACACAAACACCGACCGACAAACAGACAGACACACACACAGACAGAGCATCGTGCCAATATTAAACCTCCTAAGCTAACTCCTCCTCCTCAAATAATCCACAAAACCTAAGCCCATCATACGACAAATAAACCAGAAGCGAATAATTACGTCAAATCCCGACATGCCGAAGGTAGCGCACTTGATATTATTTTCACTACTCCTGCGAAAAAGAATAAAATATAACCAAAAAATAGAAGCATAAATACTCACAGGGCAGCTGGCATGACAATATCCCCCTTCTGTTTGTTATCTAATGGATCGAGTTAATTTCGTCTATTTATTTACCATTTTTGCTATTTCATTTTTTAATTTATATACTGGACTACAATGTTCAGTTCAACTAGTACCGTACTACTGCACTTTAACTATCATCTCTTTCATTAGGGCGACCCGTGCTAAGTGTCATGGTGAATTGGGGGTTTCCGATATTCGAATACAGTATCTAAATTATTTCCTTATGCTGGGGATCGGAGAAAACATCTAAGTGAAGGTGAAGTCTCGGTGCAATTCTGATGCCATTTTGACGATCGTGTTCGTGGGTTTGTCCGAGCGAACCGGATAGATGCGTTTTTAAGTCCCGAGTTAGAGTTGAGATTTATTACATTATCCGAACTACAGAGAACCATGGCCCTGGTTTAGGAGTCATTAAATTGCGTTTCACGGACTTTAAAGGGAGGAGCATACCTTTACATTTTCTCTCAGAGTGCGTTTAGCGTTATCACTACCGAGGTATATAAATGTTTACAAAATATATATAAACTTCTCGATGATATTTTCTGCAGCATAATATTTATCAAACGGATATTTATCATGATTTGTATTATTTATGTTCATTTATATAATTAATTTCCAATATACAAAATTATACAGTAAATGTTGATAAGTTTATACACAAAATACAGTGAATACAATGTTTACTTCTGTATTTATATGATGTATACAATGATACATATTTTATTTATTATTACAATGTATTCTTCCTATGTGATATCTGTCCCATTGTCGTACCATGAACACGAGCGATATATCACACGGTACTATTTGTTCATTCGGTCAAAGATGGTCGTTCCAACGTTGTCTCCTGAACGTAAAACTACACCGAGAATATTTATTCATAATTGTCAAAGACAGTTGTTCCGTTATGGCACGTTAAGCGCAAGATTGTACCTTGGTCACATATGCCGAACTTTGTTCACACCATTGACGACAATTTGTTCATAGTTCATGCTGGATATCAATTTGTTCATCGTTCACGCTGGATATTTGTTCATCGTTCATGCTGGATATTACAATTTGTTCATTGTTCATACTGGATATGCAAGTATTAAAGACAAAATACGATTATTTCTGGAGCACATCGTACAGAGCTGTGTCCACTTCACCAGACCATACACGTAGTTATCTGTGTAACCGCATCACTGTGCAATAGATAAAGCTGTTCATTATTAGTGTCTCTACCACAACCAAATCCATGTAGTACTATAACCCTAATGCGCCTCAGATGAAACTTCCCGACAAGAGAGATAATCGATGCGTGGCGCGACGTCCTCCGAGGGGATCAAAACCCCATCTCTACGTCGCCAAAATCTCCCCTAGTTATGTAGCAAGTCTGTAGTAAATTTAAGGTGATTCTGAATCAATGTGTTTTAAGGCTGAAGGTTTTAGTCAAAATGCTTATTGTTACGGCTCGTTATTCCTCGACCCGATGAGTGAGTGAATTTGTCCCTCACACACAGAGTCGTTGTTCACTGCTGGCCCTAGGTGTAATATTACTGTAAATCAAATTACCAAAATGCCCCCTGGCTTGAGTCGGAACCTCTCTGGCATCCTGGGAGTGGCAGGTATGAGTCCGAGGTCACAGACACAATGTTTATTTTGTCTGGTAAATGTTGCCAAATGAATGTATCTAATTAAAGTTGAGTCTTGGTGTAACTTTAATGCCATTTTTAAACGTTATTATTCTACTTTGACTCAAGTCAGCCACTTAGGAACATTCTCGCACCAGCAGTTACGAGAACAATTGAACGTACGAACCACTGTGAACCTTGGCTGTAGTCTGGGGGTAAACTACCTTAAATATACTATCGTTAAGAGGACCACAAAGCTCTCTCGGGCAACGAAGGCTCCAACATTATTGTGATTACATAGCACTGCCCTAAGACAATGGCGTCTCCTGCTTCTACACTCCTCAACTACTAAAAACAAACAGAATCAAATTAAATACCTTTTGGTCGCACCGCTCGTTAGAATGTGGCGAAAGAGGCGACATTCTTGGCTTGGGATTACCGGTGTGGTAGACGGTGAATGGATACTAAATCACACACCAACTCGTTTTTGTTTTAATATAGGATGAAAATATATGATGGAGGGGTAAAGGGAAGGGAGGAGGGTACTAATTGTGATATAAAGTGCTATATAAACATATATAAATCGTGCAATAATCGTCCTAAATTGTGCTATATGCAATACAACGGAGAACAACTTAAACTTATTCCTGTATATTTTCTCTTCTTGGGCATTATATTATCGACCCGAGACTCACCAGTTCTCTGTTTACTGACCTGAAGATCGGGCGTGGATGACCTGTGTACGTAACACTACCAACGACCATCAAACACACACATACACACACAAAGCCTGCAGTCATAACCATGTATTGAACGTGTAATAATACAAACCTAATATGATTCAGGTCAGGTCAGTCAGGTCAGGTCAGGAATTAGCCGTCATAAAGAATTATCCAAACCGTACACAAGCCATGACACGCCCACCTCAAGCGAAAGGACATCGAACTGCCGTGGGTCACAATCGGGTCGTTAAACCACTCAAATCACTGAACTAGCTAAACTACACTCCCCTCTGAAGCACTACAGTAAGAGGCAGCAGCAGGGGCGAAGTCTTTTAAAATAAAAAAAATAAAAAATTGTGATGTCTAAAAAGTTCAAAGGAATGTTATATATATTTTTTTGGTATGTGTTTACTATACATAAAATAGTACAGTACAGTATTTTCTGTTTGGGTGAGAGAGAGAGATAGAGAGAAATAGACTCTTTGGTGACCATCTTGAAGACTTGTGTACCTCCACTGTAATGTAACTTGTGCATCTCATTTAATGTTGTTCAGTGTTGCGTAGTGTTGCGTAGGGTGACTATACGTACTTGTATTGTTTTTGTTTTTCTAAAAGATAATGCACCCAAGTATCTGTGTTGCAAAGGGTGAGGTTTGTTTTTTAAAAGATAGATGTACACCCTATCAATGTTGCAAAGGGTGAGGTTTTGTGATAGATTTGCAGCACCCTACCACTGTTACAAAGGGTGAGGTTTTGTGATAGATTTGCACCCTATCAATGTTTTGCAAAGGGTGAAGCTTTGTGATACTGTATGGCACCCTACCAGTGTTGTTAAGGGTGAGGCTTTGTGATACTGCACTCTACCAGTGTTGCAAAGGGTGAGGTTTTAGGATAGATTTGCACCCTATCAGTGTTGCAAAGGGTGAGGTTTTAGGATAGATTTGCACCCTGCCAGTGTTGCAAAAGGTGAGGCTTTGTGATACTGCACCCTACCACTGCTGTAAAGGGTGAGGTTATAGGGTAGATTTGCACCCTACCAGTGTTGCAAGGGGTGAGGTTTTGTAGAGATACTGTACCCTGTCAGTGTTGCAAAGGGTGAGGTTTGGAAGAAGACACACCACGCCCTAACTATGTGTGTAGCCGCTAGGGAGATCTAATTAAGTGTTACGTGTTGTTACACAGCCACACTGAGTGTAATTCCGTCCGTTGCAGGTGTAAAGGGTTTGCTAGGCCCAGACTAGCCCAGGCTCCTTAAGCTATAGGTGGCACATACTGTAGACTGATTGTGAAATGGCCTCAAATACCTCCTATGAAAGTGGATCAAAATTTTTTTCCCAACTGACCTAAAGAACTGATTTTTATGCTAATATATTTCCTATAACTGATACTCAAAATTATACCTGGTGTTTATATTATGTAAATAAACAAACACAGGACAGTAGCTAACTCCCATGAGGGTGAGTGATGCCTTCCTCGGATATGGGTACCAGTGGCGGCCAATGACAAGAACCAAACACTCAATAAGCCACTGGTAGATGGGATGGAACATATGGCCACTCTGTCCCATCAGAAATAATGCTTAAAATGGGCTTCACCTCTGTAGTATCTTAAATGAGATATAATAATTCCCACAAGTCTTTAGCTTTAAGGGAAAACAAAGTGATACGTGTGACATGAAGACACTATTGTTATTATGAAAAGATACCATGACACTGAAGAGGAAAGCATCACTACACACTAAGGGTTTTTTATGTAAATTATCAGAGGTCGACCTCCCACAACACAGACAGGTATATGAGGCCATTAAATATGTCTTTACACGAGGACGGGTAAGACGACTCGCTGTTAAACGCTAAAAAAAGTCTTCGTCGGGATAAAAAATACACGAACGGTTGTGAACTTAAGCACGCCAGGACCTCCACCGGTATAAACGTCGACGAGCCGTGAGACACCAGAGCTGTACTTACCCGTCCTCAACAACTGATATATATACAATGTTATTAGGGTGTTCCTGGACGCGTGTGGCCGCCAATGTACTGTACATACCGTTACTCTCGTCTTGGGCACAACCTACTAAATATAAATACCGTTATTGTTGACTTTTTTGTCGTTTTTTGGATGTCCGTGGATGAGGATAGATTGAGATTATTTAACAAAAGTAAATACATAAAAAAAAACACATTTGGCAATGGATGCATATCAACATGCTTCACTTGTGTTGTTATAAGCTCAGCCCACGAGACTGAGAATAAGCTATATTTTTTTATACTGTTTTCTACCTAAAATCTACCTAATGGAGCATCACTATTTTGGAATTTTGTCATTGTTCGAGGAGAATTAAAAAAAAAAAGGTAAAATATTATCTATGGCGAGGAGCGTTCACTGTGGCACAAAACCCATGAGAGCCTTTGTCCGCTGGGGGAGTAGGGGGGATGATGGTGGCGTCGTCCCCCCCTCTACCCCCACACCACTACCGCTACTATGACAGCTTAACAACAAGACTCCCTCTCACTGTAATAGCAATGTAATGATGTAGCTGCTGTGTGAGTACCGTACCTCTGTCATAACAATGTAATGCTGTACCTAGCCACTGTGTGAGTACTGTACCCGACCTGTGAGTACATCTACAGTTGAGTACATCAGACCAGCTAAACTATGTAGTCAAAACAGGTAGTTCCAATCAAGTTATTGGAACTATTTACACAGACAAATACATACCAAATGCCCAATCCGAGATCCACCCAATCCACCCCCTGGGCAGGACCAATCAGATTAGAGAATTTATTGCAGCCAATTAGATTACAAAATTTAGTGTAGCCAATCAGATTAGAGAATTTAGTGTAGCCAATCAGATTAGAGATTTAGTGTAGCTATAGTGCTGTTCAGTACATGTCAAATGGGCACGTCAAAAAAGGGTAATCAAACAGCGCAAATTAGTGTTTTCTGGTGGTGTGAGCTGATTTTCTTCTGGTATTGGGGCAGACAATGGGTACTAGATGGGGCACATACCCACCAACCAACAGACTGCCCCGGAAACCTTATCAAGGTTAAACAGTCCACAATAAGGGTACTGCCAACCTTCCACACAAAAAGTGCCGCGGGTAATAGTTTGGTCAGACCTTAAACGAACCATACTAAATCTAGCTAACTCACTCCAATAGCTCATAGTAGTCCACGCTAAACTGATTAGTGTTAAAAAATACTTAATCTAGATATATATACTGTATGTGCTTCTCTAAAACACCAATCACATCATTAAGGGCTATGAGTGGTATAATTTCCTTACAGTATATCAAAAGATACCAAAAATTAAGTCATATTTGGCTTAATATGTGAGAAACCTATCAAACCTAACCTCAGTGTCCTTAAACTGTGGTGGGTACTGTTGCTGACGATAAACAGAGGGATAACAGCATCAATCACGGTACATTCCTCGCCTCACTTGGATGTATGCATTATCACTACGACCTCATTATTGTGATATCTGAAATCCTCATCAAAAAGATCCAACTGGTGGTACAAGAAGACATTAGCTATATCTCGACACCATGTAGAAGCCATTTGTGTTTGGTTGTCCACTGAGGGCCAATTCTTGTGGTAGGAATGTCCACTAGTAGAGAGAACAATGTATTTAGAGGCAGGACTCATAAGCTTATCAAGTACAACTGTGTTTTATAGATGAATTTGTCGAGATGAGTAAGTGTGTGTCGTTGCCTCAGCCCCAAGTGTTGTGACTCAAACACGACCTGACATTATGAAACATTAAACCTGTCCTTAATGATCTAATTAAGGTCTACTGTAATTATCTGCAGATGACATCAAGGTACTACAATATTAACTACCCAATTAAACATAACGATCGAATAATTTAGCTACGAGTGAATTAATCAATCGAAAGGTAAATTCATAGTCACAACATGTTTACCTTGAGGCAATGATCATGTGAATACTGGCACTTCTGAGTGGATAATTCACTAAATTCCATACGAGACAAAAATACCCCATACAGTATACAGATCGAGAATCCTTTATCCATGACCCGTAACCTAATACCTCCGGAATCCGTGATGCATCCGGCCTCAAAGATTTTGGATAAAGGATTCTCTACCAGTAATACATAGTCATTATCATACATCAGCCATTAACTATGAACCGGTTTGGTAGACGTTACATTGAGCATATGGCTGTAATTCCTTGGGGGGATCTAGGAGATATACAATGGATTTACAATGGGCATTATTATTGTTATTATTGTTGTTACTATTATTCATGAGTGTAAAAGATGAATAAGGGATACTTACCGATGAATGACTGTTCCTACCACGACATAGACCAACTGGTGGTAATGCGGTACAAGCCCCCAACCCCCCATGTGAAAGTGTACTGGTGTTATTGGTCGCTGGTAGAGGTGGAGGGGAAACGCTACTATTTGCCATGTATTAAAAGGTGACCCATACAAGTGTGATAGTTAGTACATGTGTACTGTAGGTGGGCTGGTGGGCGTAGGTTTAATTTGTTACATGGGTGATAGTATACTTCTAATAATACAGTACCTACAGGATAATTTGTTACAGCAACGTGATAGTGCTTCTCAGAGTACAGGGTTTTTAATTTTTTCGGGGCTGTGGTGCTGTGACCGCCACTGTACTACACTGCTGTTATGTTTAGTGAGAGCCGTGTATGTAGAGCAGTAAACGAGTATATAGCTGTTAGTTGTGTGTCTGATGATGAGAGAGATATCCACAACCAGCACTTAAAAGGAGTGAGGGTTACGAACGTGCAATTGTTGATGTTGTAGCGTTGACCAATTCACAGCAAGATGGTGGTAACGGCATATCAAAGTAACAAACAACTACCCAATTCAACGAGAACTGGGACTAACGATATCCAGTGATTTCATTGCCATCGTTATCACCTAAGGCACGGATACTTATGGCACAAATGTACTCTCGAATCTTAATAAAGTTAGAATCAAATCCTAATTAGGACTACTCCCCCCCCGCCCCCCTTCCTTTAAACTATTTTATTACCAGAATTATTGGCCTCCGCTGTTGACCTATTGGCTAACTCCGCCCACTTTTGGTTTCCTTAGCAACCGTTGATTCATAGAAGTTGATTGGCTGGTGCCCGTTGCTAAGTGACATATTTCCCCCATTCAATCTTTGGCATAAGGATTTTGTTTTTACTAGTGAGAATTAAATAAGCTTTCACATAAAAAAATCTATTAAAGTAAAAGAAATTAAAAAAAATATCAATGGCTGTTAGTTAATAGACCCTCCAATCAACCTACACAAAGTTGTAAGAAGCATAAAAGTGTGAAGCAAAAATGGACAGAACTCAGATGATAGATTGATGTTACGATAAATTCTAGAATAACATACATACAGTACTCCTACCAGTTCAGTGGGTACAGTAAAAAAAAAACCTAACTCCATGTAGCTAGTTACTTATGCTTGTGGACAAATAGTAAATAGCAGAAGGCCTTGGCTAGTTGTTCACTTAATTATGTACAAAAATGTGATATTCAATATAATTTTCATTGATAGTTGGTTCACAGGTGATAAATAAATGATGTCTTGAGACCCTAAAACACCACAGTTGAAGCTGCTCCCCTTCCTGGCTCCCCCCCCCCCACAACTCACCGTCATCTCGCCTTATTATACAACATTAGACCTAAAAAGGTGTCGCTTCCCTACGTACAAACGTTCCCACGATTTAACTTCCAACTAAAATTTCGTAAAAATCTTTTTCTTTCTCTCACTCTTTCTTCCTTTTCCTTCATTTCTCTCTCCTCTGTAGTATCCTCCTCCTCATGTCTCCTTTTCTACCTCATTTCTTCTCTCCTTCTTGGGTTCCTTCCCAGTCACCCAGATATATTTTCAGCCCGTCAAAAACTGAACATGCAAAGCTCAAAATCAACAACACGCACCATAGACAAAGAGGCACCGTACGCGCCCCCGTCTGTGTAAACTAAACCAACCTCAAAACACCCCAGCGTCGGACCTCAAACCAGGCACGTAACGGCACCTGGTTTGAGTCCCGACGGATGGTTGTATCAATCACCTGGCCAGCTTTACCCCCTTAATCTCGTCACAAGCTAAATGTATCTAACCTGCACTAATGTTCTCGCGTCTGTTATTTTACCAAACAAATCCCGTTAAGTATTTTCTTCCTGAATCGAAGTGATGATAAAGCAGCTTGGGTGAAGGGCTACCCACGATGTGTCTGATGAACCTATGTAAGATGTTGGTTGGTCGTGGTGAGGCTGTGTGGATAGCTACACTACGGTACTGTAGGTGTGAGAGTACTGTATTCTATAACTAACTGTGACATTAGGGTTGATATATTCCCTACCCGTTGTGTACATAAATGAGACGTGTGGCGATTGTACGTGAGCGCCGTACATGCGGGGAATTAAAATAAAAGGCCACACCCGTCTAACTGCTCCAGCTATCCCTATATGTTAATGTATCAGTCTATGCAACTGAATATCTAAAAAACAAAAAAAAAACATTAAAAAAACATTAAAAACGTTCACACAACTGCCAAAATATATTATTGTTACGAATTCTGTTTGTTTGTTTTAGTTGGTCATACGTCATCACTCATTATCAGAAAATCACGTTTCATTTCATATGTTGTATTAATTAAGGCGGAATTTTGATAGGTGTTCAAAGCCTATAAGTTTAGCCTTCCAAGTTGTCATGTCTCTGGTCTAGGTTAGTGAAATGTTGCTCTAAACAAGCAATAAATGGTCAAGGTTATCTCTGCCTTTTACTTATACCCCCACATGTTGCAATACTGTACACACCATCCACATGTTGCAATACTGTATACCCATCCACATATTGCAATACTGTACACCCATCCACATGTTGCAATACTATATACCCATCCACATATTGCAATACTGTATACCCATCCACATGTTGCAATACTGTACACCCATCCACATATTGCAATACTGTATACCCATCCACATGTTGCAATACTGTACACCCATCCACATATTGCAATACTGTATACCTATCCACATGTTGCAATACTGTACACCCATCCACATGTTGCAATACTGTACACCCATCCCACATGTTGCAATACTGTACACCCATCCACATGTTGCAATACTGTACACCCATCCACATGTTGCAATACTGTACACCCATCCACATGTTGCAATACTGTACACCCATCCACATGTTGCAATACTGTATACCCATCCACATGTTGCAATACTGTACACCCATCCACATATTGCAATACTGTATACCCATCCACATGTTGCAATACTGTACACCCATCCACATGTTGCAATACTATACATCCATCCACATGTTGCAATACTGTACACCCATCCACATGTTGCAATACTATACACCCATCCACATATTGCAATACTGTACACCCATCCACATGTTGCAATACTGTACACCCATCCACATGTTGCAACACTGTACACCCCCATCCACATGTTGCAATACAACAGTATATACCCATCCACATGTTGCAATAAGGAACTACTGTATACCCAAATATTGCAATAATAAACAATTGTATATCCACATATTGCAAAACTAAAAATTGCAATTCAAACACATATAAAGTACAAAGGTATTACAAACTTCAACATGCAAATTACACCCCAAAGTTGCAAATTTGAAAACCAAAGTGGCCTAAAACGTACAATACTGGAATATCTACAAAATGCCATTTACTGTAGACTCAACATTACAAAATTTATAAATAACTTATTCACTCCCATATGGTGTAAAATGAAAAATCAATTAGTCTTATTCTCTTCGCCACTAAGGACAAAAGATAACCAATTTACCCATTGCATTGATATTTTGCTACATATACCTGTATAGTACACAAATGCTAAAAATAAATTACTTATTACACAAAATACAGTACTGCAGCTACCAGTAGAACCGAATTTATCATATTAATTAATTCAAGTTAACTACAGTAGACCCAAATGCTTCAAATAGTAAAATATTCAGGCACATAATTTAAATACCGTACTGCAACTACATAATTATTATCGGTCAAATAATGCATCAGATGTAAACCCCGTATTTGCATTTAAAATTTCCCTATTCATTATAGAGGTTAAAAAATATTAAAAATACTTACCTATGATGCCAAATGTTACAAAAAATAGGCCTGTCATAAAATTTAAAACCATACCAAATGTTGCCCCAAAATAGGCCTATACATCGTAAAATTTAAAATCATGATGCCAAATGTTGCATAAATTAACATCCAGGTTCCCAATTACTGCTGAGTAGACAGAGGCAAATGGCATAAAGAAACTTGCCCACAGTTTCACCCTGCCTGAGGATCGAACCCGGGTCCGCTCGCTTGTGAGATGAAGATGCTGACCATTACACCAAACACACACACGCACACACACACGCACACACACACACACACACACACACAATACCAAACATAAAAAACGAGTTAATTTTAACATAGGAAGCTTCTTGATTAGATATTCACTTTAGAAATCCTTAAACTAACCTAACCAAACGTAATTTAAATGTTATAATTACGCCACTAAAAAGTTTAATTTGCTAGTTAATATTGAACTTAAAAATCCATTCATGTTAATTCATCTCAAATATAACACAAAAATACATTTCATACATATTAATTAAAAATATAATGATAATATTTTCAATAATCAAGGTTAAATTAGTTAATATATCACTTACCAACGTCATGGCGTTTTCTTCTTCGTAGACTCACGTTTTCTGTCTGTTGACTTTCGCTAAATGTCAAGTTTACTCATTTCTTGAACCAAACTATTCTGTATCTTTCCGTCTGTTGTTTCTAGATATTTATTAACGTATATAGAACGTCTATAGGTTGTTTATATCACTCACAAAGTAGAAAAATAAACTAATTAATTCCAAGAAACGAAGTGCGTCCTCTCACTTCAACGTCTTGAGAAGCACTAACGCGCCATGGTCATGTGGTTGACGTTCGTAAAAGCATTCAATACTGATACTAACACCATTTACATTAATATAAACAACATTTCTGATTATTTTCTTATAAAAACTACACTACAATTATATAAAATAATTACAGAAGATGTTTATATTTACAAATACACAGGAAATAGACATAATTCATAATTTCATTCAACTTTGAAAGTGATGAAAGCAGCTAATTGGTTGATCTTCAAATAACCTTTTTTTACCAATTTCCTTTATTATTCTTAATATTTGATGCCCTTATCTACTTCCAAAGAATTATAACAACCTTCTGATTATAGTAGGAGCTAAAACATTTGGATTTAATACATAATAAGGGACAAAAATCGATACGTCTTGTCCACTGAAAACCATTGTTTCCTTCACGTATTTATCAATTTTATATTAAAAACAGACAATGTAAAAGATAATGTATATACTATAGATAATGCATATACTAATATGTATGCTAGAGATTATGTATTACAGTTCACCCTTGCTTATATTGTCATTACTTACCAAATTGACTCGACTCCTGTCAAAAGTCATGTTATAATTCCTCCACTTTGTTGCCAAGAACTTTCTAGAATTTTTCTCAGTAAACTTTTCTTAGCCAGAGTATAGTTGGTTTCCTGGTATACATGGTTTTGTGTTTGGAAGGTGTGGTTCACAAGTATACATAGTTTTGTTTGGAAGGTGTGGTTTACAATAGTAATACATATCTTTGTGTTTAGCAGTTGTGGTTTATAGGTATACATAGCTTTGTTTGGCAGGTGTGGTTTACAGGTATACATGGTTTTGTTTAGGTGTGGTTCATAGGTATACATGGCTATAATGTTTGGCAAGTGTAGTTTATAAGTATACATAGCTTTATGAGTGTTTGGCAACTGTAGTTTACAAGTAATACATAGCTTCGAGTGCATGTTTGGCAGGTGTAGTAAAAAATTATACATAGCTTTGAGAGATGTGGCAGTGCTTGGGTTAAGTTAGCATTAGGGTGGTTAATCTTGGGGCAATGAGCTGGGGTGGCTAATTTTGAGCTGAAATAAGCTGGGGCGGTTAATCTTGATGTAATAAGCTGGAGTGGTTAATCTTGAGGTGTAATAAGCTGGAGTGGCTAATCTCGAGGTGAAATAAGCTGGGGTGGTTAATCTTGATGTAATAAGCTGGAGTGGTTAATCTTGAGGTGTAATAAGCTGGAGTGGCTTGATGTAATAAGCTGGAGTGGTTAATCTTGAGGTGTAATAAGCTGGAGTGGCTAATGAGGTGAAATAAGCTGGGGTGGTTAATCTTGATGTAATAAGCTGGAGTGGTTAATCTTGAGGTGTAATAAGCTGGAGTGGCTAATCTTGATGTAATAAGCTGGAGTGGCTAATGAGGTGAAATAAGCTGGGTGGTTAATCTAGTGGCTAATGAGGTGAAATAAGCTGGGTGGTTAATCTTGGTGAAATAAGCTGGGGTGGGTAATCTTGAGGTGAAATAAGCTGGGTGGTTAATCTTGGTGTAATAAGCTGGGTGGTTAATCTTGAGATTTAATAAGCTGGAGTGGCTAATCTTGAGGTAAAATAAGCTGGAGTGGTTAATCTTGAGGTGAAATAAGCTGGGGTGGCTAATCTTGAGGTGAAATAAGCTGGGTGGTTAATCTTGGTGTAATAAGCTGGGTGGTTAATCTTGAGATTTAATAAGCTGGAGTGGCTAATCTTGAGGTAAAATAAGCTGGGCAGTTAATCTTGAGGTGAAATAAGCTGGGGTGGCTAATCTTGAGGTGAAATAAGCTGGAGTGGTTAATCTTCAGATGATCCATAGCAGTTTGTTGTGACAGGTTAAGGAACACCATACAATGAACACCTGGAAAATGAATGATTGAATAAAGAAATTGAGAGAGAGAGAGAGAGAGAGAGAGTGTGTGTGTGTGTGTGTGTGTGTGAGAGCATGAAACAACATGAAGATATAAAAAAAAGATCATTTCTGGTGCACCCTCCTCTTGTGGAGCATGGTGGCACTCAGGAGGGACTATGGCAGCACTCAATGGTTTGTTTGGGTTTATAAGGATAAATAATTAATATTAAACAAGTTTATTTCCTTTACATGTAAACTTGTGTCTGAAGATGAAATATTAAATTTTTAAAAATCACTTTGTACAGTGAATTGTCAGAGAATTCATCAGTATAAAACATCTTGTGACCAAAGTACTTTCTATATGACATTGTTGTTGTTATTTGTTATTACAATAAGGCAAGAAACAAGGGAAACACCCTGCGATTTAATTTTGATCCCGGGTGATTGCGTTGAGGCTTGAGCTTAGACAATTTCGAGTTGTGAAACGAGGGGCGTCCGGTACGCGTCGAGGACTCGAGGAAGACGTCGTCGCTGCTGCCACGGTTAACAAGTTCTCGTGATGGCAAAATAAGACACCGATCATCCACACTCAAATAACCGAGGTACAGTATAACTCACAGATATACGGACACTTTTTACACAATACAGGAACAGTATTGAGATACGTGCGTTTTACTCACAGTCTTGTCACGTACTGGAATTCATACAAAATTTACACTAATGAGATACATCACGTACAAACTGTTTCTTGTGTAATGGTGGTGGTAGGACATGCAGATGATGGTTAAAGCTACTGTACAATGTATTGATGAGTTTACGTCGTCACACCTTCTAACAACAGTCACGCGCTCGGCAGACTACGGCCGAGGACGTGAAGGCGGGGACGGCACCGCCGAGTGAGATTTCGGAGTAACATTTTCAAAATAATGAATTAAGAAAACGTAATGCCCAAAATGCCACGAGACGCGACGGCCCGGACAGTCACGCACTCGGCAAACTACGTCCAAGAACGTGAAGGCGGGCGCGGCACAACCGTGTGAGATTTCTGGGAACCATTTTCTGTAAATTATACTCAGAAAATGCGACTCGTGGAAATACCACCAGAGGTAACCACCCGCTGCCCCCGTTCCAAAACTCGAATTTCAATTTGACCGTCACTTTAAGCAGACGTTGTTTTAAACTCTGCAGTCAACTTTAAACATTTTGATTGTTTAACCAAACTTCAAATACAATCTCTTATATCCTCAATAAATGCTTTGTAACACATTTAATAAAAGTGCTCCTTTACAACAGCTAACAAATAATATAAAATACATACCGCCATTTCAACTGCCATAAAAGGAGCTACGCAGAGAAGCACACGCTTCCACTATTTCCCACACATATTATTAAAGATATTATTATCATTCATATATAATCTAATCTCTAAAGAATCCATTTCAGTAAAAAACATAGTGTAGTGTTTAACATTAACAATAATAAGGCCACTGTACTGTACATATTGAGAACAAAGAATTCCTACACTTTAGGGAGCAGACACCTCAGCCAGATAATGTACACGGTAAGGCCTGCAACTGAGTACTGTACTTGAGTCTATGTACACAAGAGCGTCGCGTACATTCCCTCCTCCCATCAGCCCAGACCATCACGGGAGAACACCTACCATGTATAAAACTGCTCTACACATAAACCACCTACAATATACTTAGGTAAATTAACAAACTTTCTTTTCTGGTACATGAATAATCTTCCAACTTTCTTGATATAAAACAAATAAATCTTTACTTCTCCTAATAGCTAGATATAATTGTATGAGCATTACATAAAGGTGTAAATTCTACCAAGTATTGTAATTAAACATAACTAAACAAACTAACAATTAATTATTAATGTGTACAGATGATGATTGCTATATACCGCACTGTACTGCACTACCGCCGCGACTCAACGCCGCGGCCGAGAGTCAGAGCTACGTCTAATAAGAGAGGTTTAGCGCGTCGTTGAATAATTGACAATAATTAGGCAACGAGGGGGGGGGTAGGTGTTGACCGTGGGTTTAGGGCTGTTGGTCTGGACAGAGATTATTATGTTGTAATATCTGGGGTCAGGGCAGGCAGGACACTCGCACGAGGTCAGCAGATCACGGTGCGCGTCGTGATGAGGGGAGGTAAGATCAGAGGAACAGAGTTGAGTTTTGTGGAACTTCGTAACTCGCACTAATTACCGGATAGCGTCAGACTCGTTTGTATCGGTTTAATGAGCCGTCTACCTCGTGTTCGCTTTATGCGAGCTGAACTCGAGACGCATCGCCTTGGGTTAGGAAACGTCGCGCACGGCACCGCCACTTGTCACTCTCCTGTGTTTGTGGTTCGCCGGGAAGCTCAGACCGGCCACGCAACCGTCGATGGAGGGAATGAAAGATTATGACCCGCAACATTCACATTTACCTCTCGACCGTGAGATCCTTAATAAGATTCAACTTTGACATAAAACACAACAATTGAGAATTTTAAAGCATCCAATCATTCACTACATTTCTACATACACCAAACGGCGACACAATAATATTCGACTCCGACTTAAAACGACACGAGCGACAGTTTCGATTCGTCAACATCTTTAAAAACCTCCCTAAGGGACACTCCGAGTCTTCCTTCCATCCCCAGGGTGTTGAAGACCCCGGGGTGAGCCTCCTACAGTCACTCCTCCCAGTCACAGGTTTTGCCCACTATCACAGTTACACTTAAAGCACCAATGCATCTCCCACACTTATAAAATCTAGCAACACTACCGTCTACACTACACGCTGTAGAGATAACGTGCGACGGGCTATAACGTTACATGATATAACTGCTACGTCCGCGGGAGGGCACGACAAAAACCGTAAAATTGAAAAAAGATCTTGAACGATAATTCTCTATACAGATACTGGAAAATTTCAGAGCCCCAAGTGATAGTTCTCACATATATATATATATTTATATTTATATAATAAAATTAATAAAAAATAAAATAAAAAATTGTAGAATAATATATATATTTTTTGGCTATACCTATATAACAAGATTATGGACAACGGGAGGAGACAGTCATTCAATAAAAAAAGGCCATGTTAGCTATTGGACGTTTGTTTTGGAAGCTGACGTACACGTGACCTGCTGCCTTCCACACCTAGTTTTGTAAGGGTTGTGATGACACTGCCTAGTTCCTGGTGTGGCAGTGTCTGTCTTAACGATGACACTACCTAGTTCCTGGTACAGCAGAGTCTGCCTTAACAATGACACCGCCTAGTTCCTGGTGTGGCAATATCTCTTAACAAACAAACAAACCAACCAACCATACAGGCTACCCGCCCAGTCCCACTTAAAAAAAAAAAAAAAGAATAAATAAAAGAAAAATAAAGAATAAAAACATTAGTAGCCCCAATCACCCTACTTACCCCAGCATCAACGGTGTGACAGCTACTCTAACAGAATAACAGACAAACTAAGCAAGGATGGAGGTTAGGCATTACTTGGGGGGGGGGGGAATATCCTAGAATGAATATCAAAACAATCGGCAGTAGAATATCCACCGTCGACAATGGTGATTGGAAATAATAATAATAATAAAAACATGGGAAAACTCGGCATTGGCACACAAAATCTGTTTTGTTCAGTAAAGCACACAAACTATGCCTCTAAGTCTTAGGTAAAAATCATTAAAATTATTCAGCTGCATAACATCATACAGTTTAAGAGTACGGTTATGACTGCTATAATATACAGCATTCCATGATATGATGACACCGAGTGGGAGTCTCATCTTGGCACTTGTCTGATAAACTCCTGCTGGCCACAACGCACAGCAACGCAACACGAGGAAGTCTTCGGGGTCACGTACTGGCCGCGTCAAATTCTCGTGTCCGATAGAATAGGAGGGCCGTCGTGGATAGGTACGCTCTGGTGGAGGACGCGGATTGTCTGTGCCGCCGGCCGTTGCCTGATCGCTGGTTCGCCCTATGAGGTCGCCCCGCCGGGGACTCCGGTCCTTGCGGTTCGCTTACGTCCCCGACTAGTTCCAGACCCGACTGGCCGTTCTGACCGCCCGTCGGTAGGTCATCCCCAAGGATTGGGTATTTGACCGCAACAGGAGTGGCGGCTAGGCCAGCTATGGATCAGTCCCGGCAACCGATGCGCTGTGGAGTCCCCAAGCCCCGAGTGCCCTGGCCAGTTCGAAGGAGGCCAGTCTGGAGGGTGGGGGGCTGGGGAAACGGATAAGTGGGCAGTGGTTGCGGAGGTGGCCGAGGGGGTCAGGAGGGTGGGGGCCGGCAGGAGCGTAGAGAGAATTCACTTTACTGGCGTGACGGTTTCCTCCAGCGTGTCCTGCCCCGTGGGTGTTCCCCTCCCTCATGACGGCCCGTCCTTGGTCTCCTCGTAATCTTTCTGGTACGGCTGCTGTTGCTGCTGTGGTTCGTGTGGCTGCTGCTGCTGCTGTGAAATTAGCGGTGGCGGCGACTGCTGGACTTGCGTCATGGGTCCCTGGGTTATTTGTGGAAGAACTTGGCTTCCCTGTTGCTGCTGTTGGGGAGGCGTCTGAGAGTTTAGAGGATTGTTGCAGTTCCTCAGCACACTGTACACATTGTCCACCTTACTCAAGGTTTCCAGGAAGGGAACGAGGTCCATGAGCTCTGAGTCACTCATGTCATCAAACCACGATGATACAGGAACCTGGAAGATAAATTTGACGATAATATGAGCAGCACATGTTATTTTTCTCAACTCTATCAATGGCGCGCGTCAAGAACGACAAAATCACATTCTCCTTTCAACCATAGATGTATTCTACCCTTGTTTTACTATCCATAATAAGATCCTGAACCTATTTATGCATTATTTCACACAAGCCAGCCATTATTGTGGGTGGAGATGGTTGAGGAATAAGTCAGTGACGGTGAGATCTGGGGAAGAAACAGATCCATCAGGAATGACTCTAGAAATTATTTATCAACACTTCAAAGGCGGCCATCATTGGTGGAAGTTAACTGTAGGGACGGTGGAGTTGGCGATCAGCAGTGGAGGTTAGCTGTAGAGACGGCGGTCATCATCCGTTACATTTGGCATCCCTTGCATTCCACTTCCTGCACAGGTGTGACGGGCGGGATGGGAAATCCTCAGCCGGCAGTTATGGGTTACGGGAGGGGCTAGGTAACGTCAACAAACACAACTGAGGGAGACTACTGAGAGACAAACTGGGATTGCTGAGACATATACTGACAAGTACAGAAGAAAGAGTAGTGAGAAAAGCATGGGAGAGAACAATAGAGAATATGAAGAGAGACAGGGAGGCAGGAGAAGAAGAAATGAGAGAGAAAGAAAGAGAGATATAAACAGAGAGAGAGAGAGAGAGAGACACAGAGAGAGATCCAACACGTGTACAGAAAGAACTCCCACGTGCCCGACTCCACAACAATATGGGATTAACAAGAGACAGACAGATAGATAGACAGACGATTACTGCAATATACACATGACAAACAATACGCACACACACGTTACAAAACAATCGATCTCTTACACATATTTTGTTTTAAGAGCCTGCCAGTATGGGCTGCCAAGACTCCGACACACATCATGCAACGTACCTCATATCTTGTTTGTGGTGTAAGTGAGTGGACAACATGGACTGAGATGTGTCTTTATTTCTTCCCAGATTCAATGTTCACTGGGGGGACGTACTGACACAGACACACACGTCCCAGCCATTCTTTATGCAATACAAGCAGCAGGACACATCTATACAAACACACACACACACACTCCACCTTTTTCTCTATAAAACACAAACAGCAACTGGACACATATATACAAACAAACACACACATTCCACCTTTTCTAAATAAAACACAAACATCGACAACACACACACACACCAAGACACTCGGGCGGGCAACTCACAGCATTGTCAGGATGGAAGATGTACGACGCAGGTGAATTATCCATGATTACAACTTTATGAAGGTCGCGACCCAAACGACTTAGGTCCTTGACGTAATTGCCTCGGTGGAAGACGCAGGACTCCCGGAAGAGCCGCGCTCGGAACACCCCCCACTTGTCCAGGAGATTGGCCACTGGATCAGCATACTGGAAAAACAAACCCGAAACATTCATTGTGATATTTGAAGCTTGGATACATGTCCTCTTTCCCAGGTTATACATGATACAAGGTGTCTTAAATGTATAAAGACACTTACTCTTTCCCAGGTTATATATAATACATATAGGGTGTCTCAGTGTGGTTTAACTGGGATGGGACAGGTGGGGTGGGGATGGGACAGGTGGGGTGGGGATGGGACAGGTGGGTGGGGTGGGGATGGGACAGGTGGGTGGGGTGGGGATGGGACAGGAGGGGGTGGGGTGGGGATGGGACAGGAGGGGGTGGGGATGGGACAGGAGGGTGGGGTGGGATGGGACAGGAGGGAGGAGGGGTGGGGTGGGGATGGGACAGGTGGGTGGGGGATGGGACAGGAGGGTGGGGTGGGGGGATGTGGGTAAGGGCAGGTGGGTGGAGGATGGGGACAGATTGGGGATGGGACAGGTGGGTAAAGGATGGGGGATGGGACAGGTGGGTGGGGGTGGGTTAATACTCTGGTCATCCAGACGCTAAACAGTGAATAGCCTTTAGTGTAGATGCTATTCAAACAGACAAACACTTATACACATACACAATCTATATTATGAACACACAAAGACACATGATAAGGTAGGTATTTTAATGAGTAGAACTCCAGAATGTGAGAGGGGAAGCTGTGTGTGTGTGTGTGTGTGTGTGTGTGTGTGTGTGTGTGTGTGTTGTCATTTCTGTAGAGCTGGGTGGTGTGTGTGTGTGTGTTCTGGTTTTATGTATGTCTGTGTGTGTGAGAGTGTGTGTGTGTGTGTGTGTGTGTGTGTGTGTGTGTGTGTGTGTGTGTGTGTGTGTGTGTGTGTGTGTGTGTGTGTGTGTGTGTCGTTTTGTAGAGCTGGGTGGTGTGTGTGTTTCTGGTTTATGTGTATGTCTGTGTGTGTGTGTGTGTGTGTGTGTGTCGTTTCTGTAGACCTGGGTGGTGTGTGTGTGTGTGTGTGTGTTTCTGGTTTTATGTATGTCTGTGTGTGTGAGAGAGTGTGTGTGTGCATTTATTATAGACACACAACACAAGGAGCCAATATCTTTTCTAAACATATATCTTACTTCTATTTGTTTACTGCACTAAGATAATATTCTCCACAGTTGCTATTTATACAAGTACAAGTGTTTAATAGCTAACAGGGCCAACACCACACACTAGCAGTCTCTAAGGGGCCATTATCTCTGAACACTCACGAAGGAAAACACTAATTATTATTATCATTATTTTATCAACGTCTTCCTATGGGTTTCTTTGAAGGAATTTCCTGAAACATATTGCTAGGATGGTACTTGTTTTAACGGCATTCTTTGCTTGTTTGTTTGTTTGGTGAGTTACTGATGTCATTGTTAAGATTCTCTCTCTCTCTCTGAATCACTCGTAAGTTAACACCTGGAGTTTTAATCACCCTCTTTCATTGAGGAGGGCGATTAAAAAGTACACAGACACACACCACCCAGCTCTACACAAATGACAGACTAATAACAATACACTATAAAGCTGTACTGTTGTGTTATGTGGTGCTGCAGTGGCTGTATGATGCTGTAGTGTTATATGGTGCTGTAGTGGCTCACCTTGGCTAGACTTGCTGTGAAGAGGACACACTCATACAGCTCTCCCATCTTTTGTAAAAAGTCATCCACAAAAGGTCGTTTTAAAACATACACTTGGTGAATCGTCCCGTCTATTTCAACAGGAACTATGAAGTCGGCATTACTAATTGGCTGAAAGACACAATTAACAATGGTCAGTTATGCTGTCGTTAGTGCGGGTGATAACCGGGGCATAATTGAAAGCTTTGTGAGTTTACCAACGTGAAAAGTTTACCTATAAGAAAAGTTTACTGGTGAAAAAAGTTTACTCGTGAAGAAATATTCCAAGACGAAAAGTTTATCAACGCAAAAGTTTACAAATAAGTTTACTGATAAAAAATACTGCTGATATGAAAAGTTCACAAGTAAGAAAAGTTTACTGACATAAAATTTTGCTGATGAAAATATTCCCAAGATTAAAAACTTATTAACATGAAAAGGCAATTGATATGAAGTGTTAAAAAAAAAAAAATTACATTGTCAAAATAAATAATATACCCCTTAAATAAAATCAACAAAATACAGCAATTAAATAAAAGCAGTAAGAATAAGTACTGTAAATAATAACAAAATAAAAATAGAAGTCAACAAAATAATTATAATAAAACTAATACAATAAATAAAATGATTATAATAAACAAAACAAATAAAATGAAGTCTAATAAAGTAAAGGTATAAAATAAAAGTAAAAACTATAAAACAAAAGTAAAACAAAAGTAAAAAGTGTAAAAGTATAACAATAATAATAAAAAATCAATAAAAAAAAACAATAAATAAAAACAGCAACGGATTCCCACCTTGAAGGATGAGTGAACGAGGGTCTCATCCAAGTCGATAACCATACACTTCTTGTGCATGTCTCGGTGGCTGACGGAGGGCAGAAGGTGTCGCTGGGGTCCCGTAGGGGGTGGGAGGTGGGTGTATGGGGGTACATCCTCCGAGACACACACCCCGTTTGCTGCCCCGCCCGAGTCATTCTCCCCCGACACACAACAGCAGAAGAGGGTGCGGAAAATGCTTCTCTTGGGCTTCTTACCATTCTGACTCCCTGTAAATAACAAGAATGGTATTAATATCACATTCTATAACAACAACATTCAATACAACTTACAATAACAACAATAATACAGGATTCAATAACATCATCAATACCACAACCTCTTTCCTTCCTCTATCCTACAACACTCCACCATCCTCTATCCTACATCCTCTCCCTTCCCACCCCTACAACCTCCCCACATCCTCCTATCCCGACACCTCTATACCACAATCTCCCCACTCCCCTATCCTACAACCTACCTCCTATTCCCCACCTCTCTATCCCACAACCTCTCTCCTCCCTCTATCCCACAACCTCCCCCACCCCATCTAACCACAACCCCCGAACCCCCTTATCCTATAACCTCCCTCCTTCTATCCCACATCTTCCTCCCAATATACCCATCCTCCATACTATCCCCCCCACACCCCCTCTCTATCCCCCATCCCCACAACCTTGGCCAAAGCTCTCGAATACAACACTAACGTAAACACAAGGATAATTAATTTAAGTTTCCCAGTATACCTGCTTAAATTCACCTCTTTTTGACCACCTACCAACCTAGATTCTGTGCCCGTGTGTGTGTGTGTGTGTGTGTGTGTGTGTGTGTGTGTGTGTGTACCTACCTAGATTCTGTGACCGTGTGTGTACCTACCTAGATGCCGTCTGTGTGTGTGTGTAAGTTGAGAAGGACGTAAGCAAGTATGCGTGGAGGATATTTCTATTTGTTTTCTTAGCACTTTACTATGTGGCTTCATATATATTCTCCTTCTCGACCATAACATTCTAGGTTAGGTCACATCTCTATCTCTCTCTCTCTCTCTCTCTTCTTTCATTCATTATACTCTCTCTCTCTCACTCCGTTCACTATACTCTCTCTCCCTCCTCTATACCCCTATCTCGCCCTTCCTTCACTATGCCCCTTCTCTCTCCCTTCCTCCCTCCACTATGCCCCTTCTCTCTCCCTTCCTCCCTCCACTATGCTCCCTTCCTCCCTCCACTATGCCCCTCTCCCTCCACTATGCCCCTTCAGCCAGCATAATATATACAGTAGAGAAAATTACAGCTAAAATGGGTAGACTTATATAGAATGAATGGATATAGAATGAATGGATGGTGTGAGGGAGCTATGAAAGGACTGGCGTGGACTGCTGGGGGCTGGGGGCTGGGGGACTGCTGGGGGTGGAGGAGGGGTTGGGGGGGGTATGGGGGGGATGGGGGAGGGCTAATGATGACGGTTCTATGGAGTGGAGGATTGGATGACAGATGGACTATTTGGATTGGTGGAAATGTGTGGGAACGGAGGGAGGGAGGGAGGAGGAGGCATGAGGCCGGGGGGTCATGAGGCCGGGCAGGGGAGGGAGGGGCATGAGGCCGGGCAGGGAGGAAGGGGCATGAGGCCGGGTAGGAGGGAGGGGCATGGGGCCGGGTAGGGGAGGAAGGGGCATGAGGCCGGGCAGGAGGAAGGGGGGCATGAGGCCGGGCAGGAGGAAGGGGCATGAGGCCGGGCAGGGAGGGAGGGGCATGAGGCCGGGCAGGGGAGGGGGGAGGCCGGGCAGGAGGAGGGCATGAGGCCGGGCGGGCGGGCAGGAGGGAGGGGCATGAGGCCGGGGGGTGGAGGCCGGGCAGGGAGGGGAGGAGCCGGGCAGGAGGAAGGGGCATGAGGCCGGGCAGGGAGGAAGGCATGAGGCCGGGCAGGGGAGGAAGGGGCATGAGGCCGGGCAGGGGGAGGGGCATGAGGCGGGCAGGAGGGAGGGGCATGGGAGGCCGGGCAGGAGGGAGGGGCATGAGGCCGGGCAGGGGAGGGGAGGCCGGGCAGGGAGGGGGCATGGAGGCCGGGCAGGAGGAGGCAAGGAGGCAGGGGGGCATGAGGCCGGGCAGGGAGGAAGGAGCATGAGGCCGGGCAGGGGAGGGAGGCATGAGGCCGGGCAGGGAGGAAGAGACATAAGGCCGGGCAGGGATGGGCAGTGAGGTGGAGTCAAACAAGGGAGGCTTTATATCTCACCAGTGCTTAGCCAGTGCCTCCACCCCGCCCCCCACTACTACCACCACCTACCACTATCACCACCACAACTATCAACCACCACTACCACCACAACTATCAACCACCACTACCACCACCACAACTATCACCTACCACCACCACTAGCAACCAGGGGCTTAGTGCACCCACACTAACCCTTCAACAGCGCCCCCCCTGGTGATGAGTGGGTCGAGGAGGAGGGAGGGAGAAGAGGGAGGGAGTAGATAGAGGAGAGAAGAGTAAAAGGAGAGAATTATAATCAAACCATAATAAACAAACACACACACAAATATACACACACAAACACACACACAAACACAAATACACACACACACACATTAAATCAATATGAAGTCAGGTTAGGTTATGTGATTCAGTTAAGTAGATGAAATAAAACAGACGAGATTTACTCAAGTAGGAGAGGTCAAATGAGGTCATGTGAGGCAGCAGTCAATTATAGTGATGACACACACACACACACACAAAGGTGCCTCCTACAACATAATCCCCAAAGCCTGTGTTGGGGCTTCACTTTTTTGCACACACACACACACACACACACACACACACCACTTGACCTCATCAACTCATGTAGTGTAAGTTAGGTTATGTTGCATTAAGGTTAGGTTAGGGATAGGATAGGTTAGGTTAGGTTTAGGATAGGATAGGTTAGGTTGTATTAAGGATAGTATAGGTTGGAGTTAGGTTTCATTAAGGTTAGATTAGTATAGGTTAGGTTGGTTAGGTTAGGTTGCATTAGGATTAGATTAGGTTAGGTTTGGTCTGTTTAGTTAATCATCAGGTGAAGTAAGCTGGGGTGGCTAATCTTCAGGTGATGAGTTAAATAGTTAAACACATGGCCAGATATCACTGACCTCCCAGCAACTCATGTGGGGTATGAGGGGGGGGGGAGGCAGATAAGAGGAGGAAAGGGTAAGAGGAGGAGGGAAGAGGGAAGGATGGGTCGGAGATGGGGAATAAAAGAGGAAGAGGAGGAGGAAGGGGAAGAGGAGGGGAGAGAGGAGGAAGAAGAGAGGAGGAGGGGAGGAGGGGAAGAGGAGGGGGAGGAGGGCAGAGAGGAGGAAGAAGAGAGGAGGAGGGGGAGGAGGGGAAGAGGAGGGGAGAGAGGGAGGGGAGGGAGAGGAGGGGGGGGGGGAGAGGAGGGGAGAGGAGGGGGGACCACCTTTGACATTCAAGTGTTTCAAAAGAATGTGGCTTGAAATCCCCGGGCCGATGTTGGTCATACTTGTAAAATGCCAACTTAAAGTGACAGTATGGATAGGATGGGTGAAGAATGGTAGGTTAGGTGATGATTTATCCTTTAGGGTAGGGTAAGGGTAGGGTAAGGGTAGGGTAAGGGTAGGGTAGGGTAGGGTAGGGTAGCTTTGGCTATGTTAGGCTCAGTTGGTGATGAACAGCATACAGGGTAATAATAAGCTTAAGTCTATAAACGACACAACAACAATAGAAAACAAATGACAAACGCACTCAACATGTAGTCGAATACAGAGCAATAAGAGACTTAATTCTATAAACGACATAACAGTAACGATATCAGTAAAGGTAACGATAACAGAAAACAAAAGACAAACGCTTCAACATGACGTCGGCCGGTGACGTCATTTCCCGCCAACTGATTGTAAACAAACCCAAAGCGAGAACTCCAGCTTGGATGCGTTTATGTTGACTTGACTACTATACACACACTGGGTTCACTATTGCGCTCAACATGTTTATATGAGTAATAATGTGTATTAATACTAAAACTTATATTATCTTTTTATTATATAACTCGGTGTAAAATTTTATGTATAATTTATGGTTTATTTTAAATTCCTTCGTATAGAGACCAAAGGAGTTTAAAATACAATATTCAAGGATTTTAATCTTATGTAAGTTAATTATTTTACACACACACACGATGGAACCTGGACTACCCCCTCACAACAAGTTTTACTTTCACAAACTCACTCCATCACACACTTGTTCTCGGGCACACACACACACACACACGTTACAACACCAGTCAAGTTCCCCAGACACAACCGGAAATAGATCAGTTTTCTGATCTCAAGTGAGAAAAACTCTCGTAAGAACTTTTGAGAATCCATCTTTGTGTGGTAGCTTAAGTGAGTCAGTTAGATACGTTCTCACATCACCAGTTAGGAGGAAAAATCACTAAGACTCTTTAAGAATTCGGAGGGAGTAGACTGAGCCCTGGTAGCCTAGTGAGTAGTGATGATAGAGAACAGCTGGTCTGGTCTCCCCTCCCTTCCTCCCCCCCCCACCTACCTCCCTCCCTCCCTACTTTCCTTCCTTCATTCCCACCCTCTTCCCTTCCTTCCCTCCCTTCTTCCTTCCCTACTTTCCTTCCTTCATTCCCACCCCCCCCTCCCTTCCTTTCCACCCTCCTCCCCTCCCTCCTTCCCAAATACCTGTCCTACTGCCTATACATGTTATTTATCGTGTACAAAAACCAGCGCCTTTCAACCATCTTCTAATATAGCCGATCAACTCAGACCCAAAGCCCCTACCTGTAAACCCGAACCCAAGCCCGAAAAACCGAATCCAAACTCATTAATCCGAACCCAAGCCCATAAAACCGAACCCAAACGCATAAAACCGAAACCCAAACCGAAAAACCGAAACCCAAACCGAAAAACCGAAACCAAACCTATAAAACCGAGCCCGAACCCGGAAATTCGAACCCCGAACCCCTTGGGCAGATAATAGAAGCAATATATCTACGTGATTGAACCTTGTACTTAAAATAACTTATGAATTAATGAGGTCTTAATAAAACTACAAAATTACCTAAAAAAACTACAAAAGATCATAATTAAGACCGTGATTAAATTAGCGGCCGGTGTATAGTTTCCAAATTTATTACAAGCCCCAATAAAAGGGACGCTAGTTAATTAATAATAGGTAATTAGTTAATGAGTATGCAAATGAGATGTGTCAGGGTGGAAGTATTTATAATTAC